GAGAAAGTCCTGGTTGTTGACGAGGCTGGGCGGCTGGGCACGAGGTTGAAGGATAAGGTGGTCGATCGACAGCAACGTTCACGGTGATGTTCAGCTGTTCCCCACCAGTTCAGTGATCTGAGCAACCAAGTCCTGAGAGTCAGGCCGGGTGCTCGTGCACACCTCCTCGGTACCTCGTGAGGCGGTCTTGTGGTTGGGCTTCTCGGAGCTCGTGCGCGATGACGCCGAGGCAATTCCACAGAATGCTCCGGGCAACCCTGCTAGTGAGAAGATGACAACCAAAGCCCCGCAGATGAAACCAGTCAGCCAACTAGCCAGGGAAAGCAGCGCAAGGTCGGAGAAATTGCGCGGTGCACAACCTACCCAACCTAACAAGAGGCTCCACGGGTCGAGCCGCTCGAACATTCGAACCCCATTTTTAGCAAGCCAGAGTTTTCACCTGTGTGTAAAGAGTTTCACTGACAAAGCCTCCGGCTTATGACTTTGGCTCAAGTCGTGAGAAAAAAAGGGTTCAGCGCGCTGCTGCTGTGCTTTCACAAAAGCCGTCCATTTTCCGCGTTCCTCCAACCACGTCTTTGGCATTCCATTCGCGTCCATTCCAAAATTTAACGTTGGATTTTTCGTGAACTCGGGATGCGGGGGCTTCTTCTCGAAGCTGATGCACTATTTCCACAACTCTTCACCAACACATTGCCATGTGTCAGTGTGGTCCTGGAATCATAGCGTAAGTGTTCCATCGGATGTGGGTCTTGCAGAAAGAGATGTCCAATGACCATGGCAAGCACCGAACTATATCAGCCTGCAGCAGTACGTGAGCCCAGTAAGAAACTGGCCGTCATGGCGCATAAATTCACATCCTCCAGACAAAAAGAGATTCCGGTGTGAAGAACTTCTGAAATATTTCCAAGCGAAGACGGCAAGCCCACGTTGCCGGAAAAAGAACCACAGTTTCATCGTGTTTCTGCAAAGCGGGAAAAAGACAGGATGCATCAGCTTCCCTTCTAGGCCGGCTACGCTCGTCGCCGCAACCCACGGAACCATGACCCACCGTGGGTTTGTGTATTCCTTTTCAGTTCCTTTCGCCGCAAGGTCGGCAGACAAGTCCAAGGGCTCGCGAGTTGCCATGGCGTCCGGGGCGTCTTATCGGGTTTAGGGGTGGCCACGATCTCCTTTCAGGGTTTAAGGTTTGACACCCAACATGTTCTTTTGAGGTTGTTGGAGCATGAGGGAGGGGCGAGCCACAAGCTACTCACGCCGTGGCCTGTTGTGATCAGGGCAAACCCTTCTCAGCCTTCTACTCTTGCTTTCGTATTCAGGTTGAGAGACATCCAAAAATAGCCCATGTCAAGACGCCCGGGATGCTTTCCGCTCTTTTGTAGCATAGCGTCTCGGCAGTGGTCGGAGAGGAGCAAAAGACACACGCTATCCGGAGCTGTTTAAGGTAGGTTTAGGGTTTAGGGCTTACAGCAAACTCCAGAAAGGCTGGAACATGGTCTAAGGATGATTAGAGCTGGGATTCCCTTTAGCATACCTTGTGGAGTATGGGATAAGGATGTACCGACTTTGTGGAGTTTACTGTAGGGCTTCGGGTTTAAGTTTCGGGTTTAGAGTTTTCGGACTCAAACACAATCCCGCGTCAAGCATTACGAGGTCGACAGCACTGATGCCACCGGGGCTCGGGCATGGTTTTTGCCTAGGACATACGATCGCAGACAGCAAATCCTATATCTTAGACTGTGTATTTGGTGTATAAAAATACAGATACACATGTGATTCGTATTTTGAAAGCATGCCTTTAGTTGACAGTGTGAAAATGGCAATGCTCTGCAACAGGTTTGGACTCCTACGAAAGCTTCAAGTTGCAGCAGCAAACAGCAAGCCATGCTCTGCAACCATTGTGCAACATGGCAAGATGATCCGCATGTTTGCCGGCCCTTTGCTTACAGGGTCAAGCACTTGTGTCCCTAAACCCTAAAGCCCTAAACCCCAAACCCTAAACCCTGAACCCTAAACCCTAAACCCCTAAACCCTAAACTCTAGGAGCAGTCCTGTGCCTGGCTCCTGTAGCTCGTTGATGTCATCCTGCACGGGCTAGCATTGGGCTCAGGAGACAGAATGAGACAGACATAGGGGTTCACGATATCCGGGGTACCTTATGGGAGTCCTTATTGTAAGGGGATCCTACTATTTGGGGTGAATTCTCGGGGTCCCCCATTTTCGTAAACCCCGACGCTTGCAATCGGATGACAGGTGACTGGTGGCTTTGAAACGACACTGACCAAGTTTTTCGACTTTGTAAATTCTAGGCTACACAGATGCATGCCTGGAGTGTTCGATGCTGTGGCGAAGCTTCCTGCGAACGCATCGCCAGCACATGTGAAGCGAGCGCTCGCGGACGAGCTGCCTGATTTTGTGGCGGCTTGACTGGATGCTTTGGCGAGAGTGGCAAGAGCATTTCGGATAGACCAGCCTGAGATCATCGGATCGTAGAGCTTTCCGTGGCGTTCCGTGAGGCAGAGCCGAAACTAGCCACTGCTCTCCTCCAGCGCTTGGGGCGGCGAGGCCGCTTGCGAGATTGGACGTGTTGGGGCTTTGGGGTTCAGGCTTCAGGGTGTAGGGCTTAAGGCTTAGGGCTTAGGGCTTAGGGCTTAGGGCTTAGGGCTTAGGGCTTAGGCCTTAGGGCCTTAGGGCTTAGGGCTTAGGGCTTAAGGCTTACGGCTTAGGATTCAGGGGTTGCCGAGGTTGTTGTTGTTTTCTGGCGGGGTTCCTTTGGTGCTGGAGCCGGCTCGCGTGGCTGGTTTGCGTAGGGAGCAGGGTTTTTGTGGCGTCTGAGGGCTGGGGCAGGCTGAGGGGATGCTTCGGGTTTAGGGTGGGACCCGCTGAAGAATTTAAACCTCAAAAGAGCTCGTCTAGACCCTTAACCGCCTTAAGACGGATGTGCCATGACAGGCCTGGGAAGCCCTGAGCGTGATACCCTCGACCCCAACACAAAAGGTAATCTCGAAGGCCCCAACCATAAACCCTAAACCCTACTCCGTGGGATGTTCCCCCTTTTCCTAACAGTCCTTAATAGGGATTAGAAAGGGGAAGCAAAATCCCTGTTTTAGGACTGTTCCTTTCTAATCCCTGTGTTAGGACTGTTAGTATAAGGGGGAACATCCCAACCTACTCCGTTTGAGCTTCCCAACCCTGAACTCCATACTCGCCCCTGCCAGGACCCAAGCAAACCCGAAACCCCAAACTTCACGCGAGACTACCTGAAAGCTGCTAAATCCCAACCTAAAAAACTAAAGTCCAATCCAAAATCCCTGGACCCCAACCCCGAAGACCCTAAACCATAAATAAACTCTAGACCCTACACCCTCAATCCTAAACCCTAAACCCCAAACCTTAAACCCTAAACCCCAAACCCTAAACACCCTACACCCTACACCCTAAACCCTAAACCCTAAACCCTCAACCCTAAACCCTAAACCCGAAACTGCAGCTAGCCTAGGCCGACTCACAGTCGCGCACCGCGTGCTGCAGGCGTCTGGGCGCTTGGGAGGGAGTCTCAGAAGTTCAGGGTTCTTAGGGTTTAGGGTTTAGGGTTGAGGGTTCAGGGTTGAGGGTTTAGGGTTTGGGGGGGGATTGGGATCCAGAACTCGGCTGGATCGCGCACCGCGAGCTTTTCATGCGCAATGCAGCAGGAGCCTTGGCCCACAAAAGCAACCACTCCGTGCGCCAACTCCGAGCCAAAACCGAATCCTAAACCCTAAGCCCTAAGCATCCCTAAGCCCTAAGCCCTAAGCCCTAAGCCCTAAGCCCTAAGCCCTAAACCCTAAACCCTAAACCCTGAACCCTAAACCCTAAACCCTAAACCTTGAACCCTAAACCCTATCACCAAGCCCTTCTCACTGACCCCCTGGCCGAAGCCCTGAACCCCACCCCTTCCGAAACGCTGCAGGTGTTGCAGTCCGCGGGCGCGGAGACTAACGTCTTTCACTATGGAGCTGTGCTGGCGGCTGCTGGGAATTTGTTCAGGGGTACAGTACATGGGTCTCGGAGTTGACATGTTTCATGTTTAGGTTTAGGTCCTTAGGTTCATGGGGGTTAAGGTGGTTGGTCTCTTGCGTGTGTGTGTGGATTTCGGGGTTGCGAAGCCCTAAAACCCCAATCCCTACCTAAACCGACAGCTTGGGGCCCAATCGCCAGCCCCTTTTCCACATTGGGTCCGCCAGTTCGGTTTGTACCCCTCTCTGAACCCCAAGTGTCAGACACCAAAAAACCCTGAACATTCAGGTCCCCCCCAAAACCGCAAACCCCAAACCCCAAACCCTAAACCCTGAGCCGAAACCATAAACTTTGGGAAAGCGCAAGGCCCTCAAAAAGCACAGAGAGCCCCTAGAGGCTTCTTCGAAGAATGGTTCGTGGCAGCTGGCTCTGGCCTTGCTACAGGCGCGGGCAGATTCTGCAGGGACCGTGGTCGTCAGGTTAGAGTCTAGAGAGCCCCTGCTCTTTTCGCCTTTTGGCCGGGGGGTTTAAGGTTTGGGGTCGGGGGTTTGGGGTTTGGGGTTTGGGGTTTAGGGGTTTAAGGGTTTAGGGATTTAGGGTTTAGGATGGTGTCAGCTGGAGGTGCTGCGATAGGGTTTGGAGTTTGAGGTCGTCTTGAGAGATCCTTTGACAGTTCCGGCCTTTGAAAGGTAGCCGTTGACACTTCAGCCAAAGGCTTCAAGTCTGTTTTTTGGCACTTTCAAGTGGCCCCCTCCTTGGCTGGAGGAGATGTCTGAGCAAAGCATCCAGTGCAGCGCCATCTGCTGCAACGCCGCCATCAGCGCCTGCGACAAGTCTGGGGAGTGGCAGCGCGCGCTGGCCCTCCTCTGGGGCAGCTCGTTCTTGAGCAGACTTTTGCACCTGTAGGGCAACATCACAGTAGGTTCCGCCTGCAAGAGGCAGAAATCTTGCAAAGCTTCTGCTTGGACTCTTCAAGCCCTGAAGCGCTGGAGCCAGTGCTCTGAGGCATGACGCCGGGTTACATCAACGAGCAGCTTGCCTTCACGTTGCGGCTTGAGGGTGTGGGGATGCAGGCGGAGGCTATGGGGCTTCAGGACTTCGAGGTTTGGGGAGTCTGGGGAGTCTTCGCCCTACACTCCAAAAAGCGTTCTCAGGCCTAAGGCGTCCCCACCACGTACATCTACATCCCCGGACTGCTCGCAACCGAGGTTCTGCTGCAACTCCGCCATCAGCGCCTGCGGACGCGCCGGCCCTTCTTCCCGACTTCGGAAACCTTTACTTCATTGTAGACCCGGGCCCCGGAACCCTCAACGTTGAGGGTTTAGGGTTTAGGGTTTAATATCCCCCCCTATTCGCCCCTACTGGACCGCCCAAGCCGAAGCTGCGAAGGGCTCTGGCAACTGGCCCTCGCGCACCTGGCCGCGGTGCCGGACTTGGCATTGCTGCCGACAGAGCCCTGGTGGTGTTTAGGGTTTAGGGTTGAGGGTTTGGGGTTTAGGGTTTAGGGTTTCGGGTTTGGGGTTTGGGGTTTAGGGTTTAGGGTTTAGGGTTTCGGGTTTGCGGTTTAGGGTGTAGGGTTTGGCACACCGGTTTCGGGCTCCGCAGCCTGAGGCTGAGTGGCAGACTCAGCAAATTTGCGCCGAATGCTGAGAAGCTTAAACTCCAGCAACCGTTCAATTCTGAAATCCTCTCCTTGCCTTGTGCTGGGGCTTTGCTGACCGAAGCCCAATATGAAGCCTAAACCGGCTACACTGCCGAACTCAAAGTTTTCCAAGGGACCCTAAGCCCTGCGCCCCGAACTCTCAATCCTGGACCTATCCTACATGCCCCAAACCCTACATATCCTACATACCCTACATACCCTACATACCCTCATACCCTACATATACTCTACACCTACATACCCTCAAGCCCTTCATCTCAAGAGAGCCCAGGACATGAACTACAATGCCGCCATCACGGCATGCGAACGAGGTGCGAGTTCTCAGGTCCTAGCTAAGCCGGCTTAGGGTTTGGTGTTTAGGGCCCAAACCCTAAACAAGGCATGGGGTCAAGGATCTTAACCACAGAGGTCCTGCTCGACACCTGAGCCTTAAGCCGCATGACGCCCGAAACCCCCTGGAAGCCCTAAACCTAGCAGCCAAGAGAGATTAAACTGCTTGGGCAACTTTGCAAACCGAATTGACGAGGCTTCGGCCTTTGAACCACCGAAGTTTGGGGTCACGTTTAGAAGACGAGGGGGCCCCCAACCATGACAACCTTCCCTGAACCCAGGCAGGGTTGACTTCAGCCTGAGCATCCGGCTGCCCCTCCAAGCCGAAAGCCCCTTGAAGCCCAGAGCCCCAAACTGGTGCTTGTTAGAAGCGCAAACAAAAAAGTTCTCAACATTATAACTTAGTTTAAATTCCTCAACTAGAACCCCGTACAGCCCCTAGAGCCGAAACCCTAAACCCCAAACCCCAAACCCCAAACCCCAAACCCTAAACCCTAAACCCTAAACACCTTCTGAAGCCCGGGAGGGAGCCAGTGGGAGCGAGCCCTGGCACTTCTGGGCGCCATGCCCACCGCGGCCCTGCAGCCGACGGCCTTCAGCCGCCTGTGCTTGGGTTTAGGGTTTTGGGGTTTGGGGTTTGGGGTTTGGGGTTTGGTGTTTGGGGTTTGGGGTTCAGGGTTTTGCGGTCTAGGGCTTGAGGGTTTAAGGTTTCTGTTGTTTAGGGCTTTGGGGTCTAGGGGTTGTCTAGGTTTTGGAGGTCGCGGGGAGCTTGAGGGTTCAGTTTTTTCCATTTATTATCGTTTTCCAGGGGGTACTCAGTTTAGGGGCTTCTTTCATCAAGATTGCAGTATCTTTTTTTTCGGGGGGGTATATGCAAGGAAGCGCCTATTTTAGCAAATACCCTTTTAGGAACTAGGGGGTATATTATCGAGTGGTCAAGAACCAAGACACGAAACCCCAAAGCACCTGATATCCCTAAACCCCCCTAGACCCTAAGCCCTAAACCCGAAACCCCCTAAACCTCAAACCCGAAACCCCCTAAACCTCAAACCCGAAACTCCCCAAACCCTAACCCGAGAACCCCAAAACCCCGAAGCCCGATATGAGGCTTCAGTTCCATCATCGTGGCTTGCGAGGGCGCGAGCCAGCCTGGGCCCCACTTGCAGTTTCTTAAACTAGGGTTTCGGGTTTAGGGTTTAGGGCTTAGGAGGGTTTAGGGTTTAGGGTTTAGGGTTCAGGATCCTTGAGGGATTGCAGGGGGTGGGAATCTCGGGGTAGGCCTGAGACTCACGAGACAAGCGCCTTAAATTCTACTCAAGAACCAGCGACCTGAGGACGCGCAAAGCCTTTGCAAAGCCCTGTGTGGGAGCTTCCCTACAATAGGGGTGCCCTTGCCGGTTTTGGGGATCCTGTCACCAGGGATGTGGTACCTTTTGGGGTCCATTCTAGGGGTGCCCAAGCGTCTAAGTGCCGACCCAGCTGAGCCACTGGAGTCCCTCATTCCCATGAATCCTAAACGAACTTCTATCCACCATGCGAATAAGCCCTTGTAAGCCCCAAAACCCCAAAACCCAAAAAGGCCTAACAGCCCACAACCTACAACCCTCAAGCCCTAAAGCCCCAAAAACCCTAAACCCTAAACCCTAAACCCTGAACCCTGAACCCTAAACACTTTAACCCTAAACCCTTTAACCCCAACAAAAAAAAACCCAAAAGCCTCCACCGCCTCCAAAGAAGCGTCTGAAGGTGGGAGGCTTCCCTGAACTTCCTGGAGCTGCCTCTTGTTTAATTAGGGTTTAGGGTTTAGGGTTTAGGGTTTAGGGTTTAGGGTTTAGGGTTTAGGGTTTAGGGTTTAGGGTTTAGGGCTTTTTGGTTTGCTTGGTTGTATCGGCGGCCTGTGTCTGGTAATAGTCCTGCTTGGTCCATCAATCACTGGGCTGGTCATTGTTGCTGAGGGTTTAGGGTTTAGGGTTTAGGGTTTAGGGTTTAGGGTTTAGGGTTTAGGGTTTAGGGTTTAGGGAGTTCCGAAACCGTTGCGACGATGTTGATCGTCTTGGACCTCTTGCTGTGTTCTGTTGATTGACAAAAAAACGGTTTTCATATTCAAACCTAGCGCAAACAGCACAAACGCGCCCCCGCACCCGCAGCAAAAAGAACGCGCCCCCACCGCACCCGCAGCCAAAAAAAAAAACGCCCCCGCAGCCGCAGCAAAAAACTGCGCCCTGCACCTGCCGCAAAAAAGGAGATGCCCCGCACCCGCAACAAAAAAGCACCCGCAGCAAAAAAGACTTTTACCGATTTGGGGTTTAGGGTTTCGGGTTTAGGGTTTAGGGTACAGAGTTTCGGGCGTATGGCTCGAAGGGTTGAAGTTGAAGGCCTTCTGGGGGTTCATAAAGAGAGTTTTTTTGTTTTGAAGCAACCCTCCTTTCTTGGGCTTAAGGGAGCTTTTGAGGCTGAGGGTCTCTGACATGGGCTCGGGCTTGCGGGCTTGGCAGCACTTTTCTTCATGGGGATGCTTAGGCCCGTCTCCGGGTGTCTCAGTCTTTGAGGTTTTAGAGCCCCCATCCAGAGTTCCCCAAACCCCTAAGCCACCTAAGCCCCGGAGTTTTTTTCAGCTCCAAAGCCCCTAAGCCCCAAACCCTGAACCCTAAACTTAAACCTAAACCCTCAATCCCCCTAAGCCCTGAAGCCCCCAAATCCCCAAAGCCCCTAAGCCCCAAACCCTGAACCCTAAACCTAAACCTAAACCCTCAATCCCCCTAAGCCCTGAAGCCCCCAGATCCCCAGGATGGAGAGTCACATGCTCCCTCCCGACATGGTGAGCTGGACGGCAGCCATGGGCGCCTGCGTCAAGGCTTCTGAGCGGTTTAGGGTTTAGGGTTGAGGGTTGAGGGTTGAGGGTTGAAGGTTTAGGGTTTAGGGTTGAGGGTTGAGGGTTTAGGGTTGAGAGTTTAGGTTTGAGGGTTGAGGGTTATGGTGTTTTTGGTGTTTTTTGGGGGGTTGTCCAAACCCTCAAACCCGACAAACCCCAGAACCCTCCATCCCGAACCCTAAACCCCTAAAACCTAAACCGTCAACCCTAAACTCTAAACCCGAAGGCGGCGAAGTGGGAGGATTCCCTGGCCTTGCTGGCGCAGATGACTCGGCGGAAGATTCCGGTGGACCGCCGCGCGGATCGAATGGGAGCCCGTTTGGGGCGGTGAGGCGCTTGCTTTTTGGGGGGTACTTTCGGGCTTAGACAATCCCTAATCCCTAAGGCCCCAAACCCTAAACCCTAAACCCTAAACCCTAAACCCTAAACCCTAAACCCTAAACCCTAAACCCTAAACCCTGAACCCTAAACCCTAAACCCTCCGGGTTTAGGGGTTTCATGTTGGGGTTTCCTGTTCCACAGCCTCAGGCGTTCAGGGTGTTCCGGGCTCTGGGGGGGTGGGTAGTCAGGTCTCAGAGGCCACAAAAGCTGAGCGAGAACTTGGGGTCTGGGGCTGAAGTTTAGGTTAGGCCTCAGGAAGATGTCGGGTTTGGAGAGTTTCAGGGGAGTCCCAAGCCAAGCCGGAAGTTCCCTCACAAACCTTGAGCGCAACCTGGGAATTGAGCTTTGGAAAGAACATCACGACTTCCCAAGTCCTGGGTTCTTCCGCAACATACTCGAATGTGCCGTAGTGTTGAATGTTTGCGGGTGGGTTAATGTTCGGGGGAGGGCGGCTGCCCCAAACCCTAAACCCTAAACCCTAAACCCGAAACCCGACATCCCAACTCCCAAACCCCAAACCCCCCAACCCCAAACCCCAAACCCTAAGCCCTAAGCCCTAAACCCTAAACCCTAAACCCTAAACCCCAAACCCCAAACCCCAAACCCTAAACCCTAAACCCTAAACTAAGCTTTCGCCAACCTGCTGGCATCCAGGGTACTGCTTCAACGCGTTGGCGAGCGCCTGCGAGAAAGCTGACCGGCCGGCAGCACAGCAAGGGAGCTGAAGGGAGCGCAATCCCATAGTCTTGCAACCCTAAGCTTAAAACCCTAACCCTAAATCCTAAACCCTCAACCCTAACCCTTAAACCCTAAAGCCTAAACCCTGGCTTCTGGAACATAGAGGGGATCGGTTGGGTTTGATGGGGTTTTCTTTCTGAGGTGGCTAAGTTCATAAACAAGTTCATAAGCAAGACAGCTGCTGCCATGTCCGCCCGCAAGCTGCCCTTGATGCCTAGTCTGCTTCGGCTGAAGCCGCAATGCACTCTCATTCCCCTCCCAGAATTCAGGCCTAACTAAGGCTTTAACTCAGGGCTATTGGGCCTAAACCCTAAACCCTAAACCCTGAACCCTAACCCCTAACCCCTAACCCCTAACCCCTAACCCCTAAACCCTAAACCCTAAACCCTAAACCCTAAACCCTAAACCCTAAACCCTAAACCCTAAACCCTAAACCCTAAACCCTAAACCCTAAACCTAAACCCGAAACCCTAAACCCTAAACCAGTGTCTCGCTTCGTGACAGTCCGCATGACCGATTGCATAAACCCTAAACCCTAAACCCAAAACTCTAAACCCCAAACCCCAAGCCCTTGAGTAGGTAGGGTAATTGATGTGGGAGGAACTGGGATCTCATGGTTCTTACGCTTGGCCAGAGAAGGTGGGACGTGGCGCTTTCGGTGCTGGCGATGATGAGCCTTGGTGGACATTTCCCTAAACCCTAAACCCTAAACCCTAAACCCTAAACCCTAAACCCTAAACCCTAAACCCTAAACCCTAAACCCTAAACCCTAAACCCTAAACCCCAAGCCCTAAACCCTAAACCCTAAACCCTCAACCCTAAAAAACTTTAAACCCTAAACCCTAAGGCAGCCCCCCTAGGCCATGGATTCCCTGAGATTCAGGGTCGAGGGCTTCAGGCTTTAGGGTCTAGCCGCCCAATACACCAGCCGTTGAATCTTCAGAACAACCCAAGGATCCCTCCTAAACCCAAAGGCCCTAAACCCCGTGGACCTTTTTTGAGCGGTGGCTTTGGGGTTGTGGGGCATGGTTGGGAGGAATGAAGAATTTGAAGACCGCAGATGAGTTGGGGGGGCGGCTCTGAGTTCAGGCTTCTGAAACCTCGCTCAATGAGGTCAAGAACCCTGAAACCCTTGCACAGGCCAAAACCCTGACCCCTAACCCCTGACCCCTAACCCCTAACCCCTAAACCCTAAACCCTAAACCCTAAACCCTAAACCCCAAACCCCAAGCCCTCAAACCCTTTAGCCCTCAAGCCCTAAAAGCTACGAGGAGGGCCAGGCGGCTGCCCCCAGAGATCGTCACTTACAATGCGGCGCTTGCCAGCTGCAAGAGGTACCTTCAGTGCATTGTAGGGTTTAGGGTTTAGGGTTTATAGGGTTTATAGGGTTTAGGGTTTAGGGTTTAGGGTTTAGGGTTTAGGGTTAGGGGTTTGTAGGTTTAGGGGTTAGGGCCTAGGGATTAGGGCTCAACCCTACACCCTAAACCGCCCTCAACCCAGACACCCTAGCCTAAGCCGTCTTGAGCTGCAACCTTTGAGCCTTGCAAGGCCTGCAAGCTGCCTCAAGCATTACCCTACATTCTACACTCTAAACTTGGGATTTAGGGTTTAGGGTTTAGGGCTCAGGGTTTAGGGGTTTAGGGTTTAGGGTTTAGGGTTCAGGGTTTAGGGTTTAGGGTTTAGGGTTTAGGGTTTAGGGATGTTTGCCCTGATGCTAACAGTCCTCAATCGGGATGATGGTAGGGGGTATTCTCATCCTTATTCAGGGCTGTTAGAATAAGTGGGAACCTCCCAACCCTAAACCCCAAATTCAGTGTTCGGGATCTGGAGGCGGGGGGGTCTTGGGTCTCACGGTTCAGGGCGTCGGGGCCCGATGGCACGGGATTTGACTGCTAGCACTCATGGACTGTCAATTCTTGACCCTCTTCATGATTTTTCACTGTTACTCTCATAGTCATCGTAACTACTGCTGTCACTATCATGGCGGTTATGACCATTATGTTTTTTCTTGGGGTCGGGGGGTGAAGTGTTTCGATGGTTTTGTGGCTTTGGGCGGCGCCAGGAGCGGGCGTTGGGAGGTGGCCCTGTTGCTGATGGAGCAGGCGAAGGTCCGGGACGGGGTTTGGGGCTCAGGATGCAGGGGGTTTCGGGGCTTAGGGGCTTTAGGGGCTTTAGGGGTCAGGGGGGGTTTGGGGGCTTTAGGGGTTTCGGGGTTTGAGGCACGTTGGAGCCTCCGGGTGTGCTTTGGCTAGGGCAGCTTTTGGTAACCAACGTTGTCATTTCCGTGCGGGGGTTATTTGTTCTTGCCATGGTTCTTGTATCCCCAAACTCCAAACCCTAAACCCAAACCCGAAAGGGGGGGAGGTTGGCGGTGTGGAGTTCAGAGATCCACAGAGGATGCAGTGGCTAAGCCCTAAACCCTAAACCCTAAGCCCTAAACCCTAAACCCTAAACCCTAAACCCTAAACCCTAAACCCTAAACCCTAAACCCTAAACCCTAAACCCTAAACCCTAAACCCTAAACCCTCAGCCCTACGCTGCGAGCATCCCTCCCTCATAGCCCCCAAGCCCAGGGGTTGGGATTGTTGAGTTGAGGGAACAAAGCCCTGACCTTAACCCGCACCCTACACCCCGAACCCCAAGGGTTTTAGGGTTTAGGGTTTAGGGTTTCGGGTTTCGGGTTTAGGGTTTAGGGTTTCGGGTTTAGGGTTCAGGGTTTAGGGTTTAGGGAACCTAAACCTTCGAGGCAACGTCGAACGCCCTGGACGCCATCAGCTTCAACTGCCTCATCGGCACCTGTCACCTGGGCAGCCAGTGTCTCGGTTGCCCAAATGCCTGTGCCTTCAGGAACTCTAAGCCCAAACCCTAAGCCGCGCTGAGCCTTGAACCCCAGGGAACCTTAAGGCCCACAGGCCCTTTGGGGCGTTTGGGGTCCGCGGCTGAGTTTGGGGATCCTCTGGGTTTTGTTTCGGACGCAAATCTCGCCCTCAGCTTCTCTGCGAAACCCTGAGAAGCCCACGTGGAAACATCCCAAACACCCAAGAAAACGCGTCATCTACAGGTGGCAGCTCTCCCTCCACTTTCTGCACGCCATGCCCGTGGCTGCCGTGGAGCCGGATCGGCGGCCTGACACCAGATTCATGCTGCTGAGGCCACCGAAGAGTGCCCATAGATCAATCCCCGCAGCCTCCTCCGGTGCTCTCAGCCTAAACTTTAAAGCCTAAACTCTAAACCCTAAACCCTAAACCCTAAACCCTAAACCCTAAACCCCGGCCCTGATAACCTGCGCAGAGGGAAGGTTGATGACCTCATGTAGTGGTTGGGTGGGGACCCTAGCACCCTCAAGCCGTTCTCGCCCAGGTCAAGCTACACCGAAGCTGCGGGCGCGTGCGAGAAGTCCTCGCAGTGGCGAGACGCCCTTGAGGCGGACGAGCAGGGGAGTATAGGAGGGGGGGACTTTATACTAAAAGACTTGGCCTACTTGGCCTTTTCCCACTCAGAATGTTTTCTGACTCACTAGCATTCCGAACCATTCTGGAAGTAAAATCTCTGGCAGGGTTTAGTGGTTTAGGGGTTTCGGGGTTTAAGGGTCTCTGACCCTTGCTTTACCTTTCGCTCGCCCGGGAGGTTTTGGCTTCGGCGCTCTCGCAGCAGCTGGTGCCCGATGGCACCTGCCTGGGCGCCGTGGCTGGTGCACTGCGCAGCGCGAGGGGGGAGGCCGCGATTGTGGTGCAGAGGGTTCAGAGGGTTGCGGGTTTTAGGGCTGAGGTGTTGAGAGCTGAGGGTTTAGGATGCGGGCTCGGGGTTTTGGGTCCGCGGCAGAGGAATCCCTGCAGTACCGGCAAGAATTCATCTCACGTAGGTTGTCTGGGAGGCAGACCGGAGATAATTGGCGGGGTGTCGGGTTTCGCATCGGAGGGGTTGAGGGGCTTAGGCTAGGAGGGCTTGAGCCCTCAACCCTAAACCCTCAACCCTCAACCCTCAACCCTAAACCCTAAACCCTAAACCCTAGACCCTAAACCCCAAACCCTAGACCCTCAACCTTGTGGGTTTTTTGGAGGGTTTGAGGACGCAGCTTTCGAGCTCCTCGAGCAGTTGCGCGGCCGGTGGCGCCAGCATGGCGAGCCCGACGTCCTGGGCGAAGGCCCCCTCACCCCAACCCCGAAAAAACACTTACAGATTTAGGGTTTTAGGGTTTGGGATTTGGGGTTTTAGGGTTTGGGGTTTCGGGTTTAGGGTGTCTTGACATCACTTCGTTGTGGGCGTTGAAAGGATTGCACCTCTTCGCAGCCCTGGCGCTGCCTGTCGTTTGAACGACATAGAGGAGATAAGCATGGCTTTGGATTCAATCGTCCCCCACCACGTCTCCTCCCCTAAACCCTAAACCCTAAACCCTAAACCCTAAACCCTAAACCCTAAAGCCCTAAACCCTAAACCCTAAACCCTAAACCCTAAACCCGGGGCCACAACCTGACGGTCCTAGTGATCGTCAAGGCTTACAGGGACGATTCAAGGGATCCACGCCGCCAGTAGTGTTGAGGGTCGTAGGCCATAGGGTTTCAGGGGTTTAGGGTTTAGGGCTTTAGGGTTTAGGGTTTCGGGCTAAGGGTTTAGGGTTTAGGGTTTAAGGTTTAAGGTTTAGGGTTTAGGGTTTCAGAGAGGCCAGGGGCAGAAATGAGATGCTTGTTGCAGGCATCACCGTGCTCGCCCGTCAGCCCGGGGTGCTGGCGATTTCGAAGCCGGAGGGCATCAGCACCGAGGCTTGGGGGAGCCAAGAGAAGATTCAAACAAGCCCCACAACCACAATAATCCTTCAGCCTTAAACCCTAAACCCTAAACCCTAAACCCTAAGCCCTAAACCCTAAACCCCAAACCCCAAACTCCTGAACCAGTGAAGCGCCGGAAGCCTCTGGGCTCTAAAGCCTGCTGCGAAAGTAACCGCGAAGCCCAAAAACCATTGACCCAGGATCACCTGCCCCCAAACTTACTGCTTAGGGGTTGAGGGGTAGAGTTTCGGGTTAGACTGGCTGCTTTGGGGTTGAGGGTTAGAGTTTAGGGTTGCCGCTTGTGCACTTTCCCCATTGCCAACGCTTGCCTCGCTGCGTCTCGACGCCTGGCTTTTGCAAATGCAAGTGGCTTGTAACGGTTGCATAGACAAGACGTGTCTACCGCGTATGAAAGACCTTCCCACAAGAGCTTGCAGTCCTTATCGCAGTCCAGGGACAAAGGTACTCAACATCTGGCAAGCCATCCGCATGTGCACTCGCCGCGCTCGGTCAACAATTATTTCCGACTGGAACTAATGATCCGGGGTTGGAGGTTGAGATAGCTGTGCCCCCTGCATGCAGTGGTACGCATTGGAAGGATCCATGAAACAAAGCTGCTGGTCCTTGACTGGATACTGGGGGAATTACCCTCACTCCCCAACTTCCCCCAGAAATAACTCCTGTGGGTCAGTCTCTGCTTGTGTTTGGACTCTTAAGCTCTTTGAGAGGAGCTGTTGGAGAGGCTCTTTGGCAGACAATGGATCGACGTGGCGCAGACGGTGTCGAGGTGGCTGCAGAGGGACTTTCTGGGACTTCGGGGAGATTATCATGTTTTTTTTTTTTTTTTTTTTTTTAAATATTTTTATGATTATCATGATTGTTTTTGTATGTGTTTTAAAGTTTCGGCCACAATTTGCGATGCTCTGGTTCCTGTGCTTAGGCGCAAGTTCGGAAGTTTGTTTTCACCCGTAGAAATTGCACAAAGAAGCACCCGCAAGCCCCATAGTCAATGTAGACCCGCAGCCAGGCTGGACTACCCCACCTTGAACCAACCCTGAACCCTGAACCCTGAACCCTAAACCCCAAACCCTAAACCCTAAACCCCAAACCCTAAACCCTAAACCCTAAACCCTAAACCCTAAACCCCCCTCCCAAAAGAACCCTATAAATGGACCCGAAGCCAGGCTGGACTACCCCACCTCCGGCGTGCTGCCCGTTGCCTTGGGCCCGGAGGGCTCCGCGGCGTGCAGCTGGCTGCAGGACGGAGGGCGTCTAGGGGTTTGGGGTTTCGGGTTTGGGGGATTTTGGGGGATTTTGGGGGATTTTGGGGGATTTTGGGGGATTTTGGGGGATTTTGGGGATTTTGGGGCTTTTGGGGTTTAGGGGTTTAAGGGTTTCGGCTGTATGGTTTAGGGGATTTTGGGGTTTAGGGGTGCAGGGTCTATGGTTGGGGAATCTGTGTTGTTTAGCTGATATTCTAAGAACAGTAGAGGCAATAGCAGTGATCAGAACCGTGGAACACAGAACAGCACTGGTTTTCATGATGGAAGCACCTGAAAGTTCCCCATTCGAATCACAGTTCGGGGTCTTGACCTCAGGGCATCTTAGATCGCGGCGACATGGTCGGACCTCGTGAGTGCGGATCATAGATCCGCTAGTGGGCTACGCTCGCGCCGCGTTTCGCTTCTCTACTTGTTGTTTTTCCTCCCCGGTCTTCTTCAACGCATGACTCTTTGGCTTAACATCCTCAGTTGGAAGAGTTTAGGGTTTAGGGATGTTTCAGGGGGCACATCGGACCGTCTTGGGAGCCTTATCATCACCCGTGCGAATCCGCGGCTTCCCCCCAAAAGACGTCCAGGCCCAGTTCGCGGCGAAGCTCGTGAAGAAGGACTCGCCTCGCCAAGAGTCTTCAGCCGAGGGTTTCGGGGTTTCGGGTGTGGGGGCGTAGGCGCTCTCTCGAGAGTATCGTGCGCCCCAAGGAGCCCGGCCACATGTGCGCAGATTTGTGCAGGCTCTTGTGTCTGGAAACTCGCACTTCTGTCCACATCTCCACCTGCCACGACATGCGCGCTTCTCTGGCGGCGGATGCCTTTTCCACAAGCATCATGAAGACTCGGAAGCCCCAAGCCCTAAACCCTAAGCCCTAAACCCTGAACCCTAAACCTTAAGCCCTAAACCCTAAACCCTACACCCGAAACCCGAAACCCTAAACCTAAGCTCTAGACCCTCAAAAGACCGCGGTGTTTGAAGGAGTACCTGTGCCTTGCTGAAGGGCCCTACCTGGGCGAGGTGTGGGAGTTGCCAAAGTTCTAAGAATGCCAGACAGCCCTAAGACCCCACAATGGGTTTAGGGTTTAGGGTTTAGGGTTTGGGAGGGTTTAGGGTTTTTTGGGGTGTAGGGTGCTCTCAGACCCCCCAGAAGAAGCTTCAGAACCCTGACAATTTCAGACCCGGACAACACTGAAGCCCAAGAAGCTTAAACACTTCAAAGCCTCACAAACCACAGCAAGTAACACCCCGGAACCCTGAACATTGAACCGTCAACCCTAAACCCGTTCAAGCCCTTAATGCAAAAGCCCAAAGCTTTATGCCAAGAGCATAAGGGACTAAAGAACCCTAAGGCCCTAACAGCCTCAACCCGAACGCCCTAAAGCCTTGAACCCTAAACCCTAAACCCTAAACCCTAAACCCTAAACCCTAAACCCTAAACCCTAAACCCTAAACCCTAAACCCTAAACCCTAAACCCTAAACCCTAAACCCTAAATCCTAAACCGTGGCCGCGGCCTTGGCAAGGTGGGCGACGAGGGCGCCATCACCAAGCCGCTGCGGACCGTGGGCGTTGGCTCTGTGAGGACGGAGGTGGGGAAGAGATTCCTTTTTGGGTTTGTGGTTATTTTTTGGTTTTAAGTGTATTAAGTGTACAAATTTAGGGTTGTAGGGTTTGGCTTGTGCAGGTGTAGGTCTTTCGAGTTCAGGATTTTGACGTTTCGACCTCCAGGGCGTTGCATTGAGTTCAGGGATCAGGTGTTTGGGGAATCAACCCCCCCTAAACACCGCTGACTCGCCCCTGACTCCCCCCTAAACCTGAAACCCTAAACCCTAAACCCTAAATCCTAAACCCTAAACCCTAAACCCCCCTAAGCCCCCTAAAGCCCGCGAGCGAGAGCCGACGCCCAGGTGTCTCCCTCGGGGCGTTATGCTCGCACAGGCCCCGGGTTCTTGCAGTTGGTCGGTGTCTGAAGAAAGGGTTTGGGCTCTAGGAGTTTGGGGTTTAGGGTTTATTAGGGTTTAGGGTTCAGGGTTTAGGGTTTACGGTTTAGGGTTTAGGATGTCCTAAAGGGGCTCAGCTTGTGAGATTTCAGGATTCCGGGTGCAGGGTGGCTGAGCAACCCTGAGCCTACCGCAAGGTATGACTTCAGGGGTTGCTGTCGGGGCTTCAGGGGGCTTAGGCCCTTAACCCCCCAGAGTCCGGAACATGCCCCAAGCCCTTCAGAACCCTAAACCTCCTAAACCTCCTAAACCTCCTAAACCTCCTAAACCTCCTAAACCTCCCAAACCTCCCAAACCTCCTAAACCTCCTAAACCTCCTAAACCTCCTAAACCTCCTAAACCCTAAGCCCTAAACCTCCCAGACCCCAAAGCTCCAAAACCCAGCGCCTGCCAGGTTTCCGGATCCTCCGACGCTTCACCGGCACTGGCGATCGGGAGCCAAAGATGCTCCTGGCGATGCCTGCCACCTGCCGGCACAGACCCCTGGGTTTAGGGTTTAGGGTTTAGGGTGGGTTTAGGGTTTAGGGTTTAGGGTTTAGGGTTTAGGGTTTAGGGTTTAGGGTTTAGGGTTTAGGGTTTAGGGTTTAGGATTTAGGGTTTAGGGGGCCCCTAGGGTTCTGTGCAGCCTCTCTGGCCCCATGCCCTAAGCCCTCAAACCCTGGAAGCCCGAACCCCAGGCTCAAACTCCATAAGGTTCTAGGCCATAAACCTAGAACTCCCCTTCGCCCTAAGCCCTAAGCCCTAAGCCCTAAACCCTAAACCCTTAGCCCGAAACCCTGAACCCTAAACCCTAAACCCTAAACCGCCCATTCCAGGAAACTGGTCGCACACATCAGACCCCCGGCCAACTTGTGATCCTCCTTTCTGGGATTTCAGGGTTCAGGGTTTTGGGTTAACTGTTTTTGTCGGTTTAGGGTCTAGGGTTTAGGGTTTAGGGTTTAGGGTTTAGGGCTTAGGGCTTAGGGCTTAGGGCTTAGGGTTTAGGGGTCCTGAGGTGTAGAGTTGAATGTTCAAGTGTTGTGCAGGCGTGTCTTGTGAAGGTGCAGGGCTCAGGCTTTGAGAGGGCTCGTGTTTAGGACCCAAGTTTGCGTGCGGCTCGAGGGGGCCGCCAGAGTACGCAACCACAAGGGCACTTATTAGGGTTTAGGGTTTAGGGTTTCGGGTTTAGGGTTTAGGGTTTAGGGTTGCGCACCCAAGAACTCCCAAAGAAGCACGCCAATGCTTCCTTCTGCATGTCCTGTCGTCCTGTCCCCCCCCAGTGTCCCTGTAGTCATTCGCCAGAGCCGCTTTTTTTGTGCCAAGAACTTCTGTGCCTCCATTCCTACGGTTGTTAGTACCTGCTACATTCCACGATCTGTTGTCAGGGGAGTCTTTCTTTGGGGGTTCCCACAGGAGTTCCTTCCTCCTTTCGACGTGCAAGACCCTGAACCCTAAACCCTAAACCCTAAACCCTAAACCCTAAACCCTAAACCCTAAACCCTAAACCCTAAACCCTAAACCCTAAACCCTAAACCCTAAACCCTAAACCCTAAACCCTAGGATCCGGGTGCACTTGGCCAGCATCGACCAGCCGCTCGTCGGCGACCAGACGTGCCGAAGCTGCGCTTCATCTTCGAGCTTCATCTCCCGAATTAGGGGTTTAGGGTTTAGGGGTTTAAGGTTTGGGGTTTAGGGTTTAGGGTCATGAAACCATGCCTAGCCCCCTCTAAGCCCCTAAGCTCTCAGGGCTTTTAATAGGGTCCCTTACCTCCTTTAAACGGGTTCTGAAGTATGGGCCCTTAATTTGTATAGGGTATAGAATCGGCCCAAGCCCCTTTAAAGCCCCAAACCCCCTAAGCAGCCAAAAGCCCCTGGGCCTTGAACCTAAGGCTCAAACCCGCCTAAAGCCCTAGCTTGCTCGAAAGCCTTTGCAGTAAAGTGGGGCGGTTGAAGCTTAGGATTCCTTGCAAGGACCACCCTTAAGCTGTTTCCCGAAGCGAGCTGGTTCGGGTTGGGTGAGGGTTTAGGGTTTAGGCTTCAGTAGGGTGTAGGCCGTATTGCGCTCAGGACGTCTCTCTTCCTGGAGCCAAATACCCAGACATAAAATCATGAAACCCGAAGCCGCAACCCTAAGTGCTTAGGCCCCCAAACCCTCAAGCCATCAAAGCCCCTAAATCCGAAACCCCCTTACTCTCCAAGGTATGGATCCAAAAGCTCGGAGCTCTCCAGCCGTTGCCCACGGCTCTTCCTGCACTGCCACAGGAGCGGCGGGCCCGGGGGTTTTGTAGTGTTGATATCGGCCTATTGAGAGTCAGGGTCTGGGGTTTGGGATCTTGGGGTTTAGGGTTTCGGGTTTGGGGTTTAGGGTTTAGGGTTTGGGGTTTAAGGCTTTCGGGTTTGGGGTTTAGGATTTATTCTGAGATCGTGGGATTCCCAGAAGAAAAGAGCCAAAGAAGCCTTTAAGAATGTAAAGAAGCCCTGAGCCTTAAAACCCCAAACCCCAAACCCCAACCCCCCAAAAAGCCCTAAACCTGAGCCCTCAACACTAAACCCTAAACCTAAACCCTAAACCCTAAACCCTAAACCCTAAACCCTAAACCCTAAACCCTAAACCCTAAACCCTAAACCCTAAACCCTAAACCCTAAACCCCGAACCCTAAACCCTAAATCCTAAACCCTAAACCCTAAACCCTAAACCCCAAACCCTAAACCCTAAACCCTAAACCCTAAACCCGAAACCCCAAACCCTAAACAGTAAACCCCAAACCCTAAACCCCAAACCCTAAACCCTAAACCCTCACAACCCCAGGATCCGCCTCCGCGACCTCGCGGGCCAGGCTCTGACGGCCGAGGCGCCGCTGCCGCCGGAGCTGCAGGAGCTCCTGAGCGGCCTCCAGGGCTTCATGTAGGGTTTAGGGTTTAGGGTTTAGGGTTTAGGGTTTAGGGTTTAGGGTTTAGGGTTTAGGGTTTAGGGTTTAGGGTTTAGGGTTTAGGGTTTAGGGCCCCCGCAAACGGGGCCTCTAGGGGTTTCTTCTAGGACCCAGAGGAGGCCCTCATTCCCATGTTTTGAGGTTTGGGTTCCCTGAAAAGCGCTGTGCACCAAGATGGGGACCCTTCGTTATTCCTAGGTTACTCTTGGGTCCAATTTTGGGAATCCAGGGTCTCAGGGTTTTGAAAGTTAGGGCCAAAGTTCAGGGTTTTTCGGGTTTTCGTGGTTTTCGGGTGTTAGGCTTTTCGGGTTTGAGGGTTATCAGGGACCTAAGCCCCCAAAAGCGGGGCCTTTGTGCAGTTTTGGGGGGTCTTGCTAGGTTTAGGGTTTTACGGTTTGATTAGGGGTTTCGGTCTTAGGGATGATGACGGATGCCTCAGAACAAGAAGGGCGGGCGCCAGCCAAAAGCGCGTGGTCGCTGACCCCAGCTGAGATCCAGTGCCCTGCTTGCTTCAAGACCCCCTCAAGAAGAAAACCCCCCAAACCCCAAAACCTTAATACCCTAAACCCATGACCACCCAAATGCAAAAGATGCTAAGACCTTAGACCTAGGCCCAGGTTCTTGGCCTTTAGGGCTCTTCTGGGTTGAGATATCTTTCAGGTCGCTGTCTCAGTGAGGGTGTAAGTTGCCAACAAAGCCTTGGCCCTCAACCCGACACAAACCTCAGAACCCCTAAGCCATTTTAGGTCACCACCTAACTACCCCATGAACCCTATAAACGCTATTAGTGAACCCCCATGCAAATTCTGCAGTTTTCGGCCCTTGGGGCCCCAAAGCGGACATACATGAAGGTTGCTCCCCAGTAGGATTAGGGCTCGGCCGTCAAGAAGGTGGCAATCCTCTGGTCGAAATGCAATAGCATCCGAACCCACCCTGGCATGAACATGTGGTGTCGGAGCTGGCAGGTAAAGTTGTGAACAGCAGAGAAATACTGCAGCAGTGAAGGACGCGGTTTTCCGACGTCGCAGCAGACAGCTCAGAAGTATGCCCACCCCCACACTCTAAACCCTCAACCCTAAACCCGAAACCCTACACCCTAAACCCTGAACCCTAACCCCTAAAGCCTCAACAGCCTGGAACCCTGGACCCCGAAGCCTTCCATGTAGCAGAGCTCCGTGCGACGGAGATCATGTTCCCCAAAGTGCGGCTCCCGAGCCTCTTCGGGCCAGCACCCCGCTGCGGCTGGTGGCGCCAACCCAGATGCAGGCCCAGGGCTTTTTGGTGTTTTGGGGTTTTGGGGTTTTTGGGGTTTTGGGGTTTTGGGGTTTTGGGGGTTTTGGGGGTTTTGGGGTTTTGGGGTTTTGGGGTTTTGGGGTTTTGGGGTTTTGGGGTTTTGGGGTTTTGGGGTTTTGGGGTGTTGGGGTTTTGGGGGTTTTGGGTTTTGGGGTTTCAGGGTTTTGGGATTTAGGATTTAGGGTTTGCGATTAGGGTTTAGGGTGTTAGGGGGATAGGGGTGTAGGGTTTAGGGCTTTGAAGCTGCGTGCTGTCATCACAAGGGGTCGCGTCGCCATGAACCTCTTCGTCCAGTTCTGAATCCTCAGGCACTCTCGCCACGCCCGAAGGGTCCTGAAAGGGTTCTGAAGGGAGGGGGGTTTTATGGGGGTATTAGGGAATCTTCGGGAAAGTCGGGAATATTAGGGAGCCTTGGGTTACATACCCCCCTGAACGCCCTTAAGTACACCCTGCAGTAAACCCCAAGCCTAAAGCCCTCCTCTCCTAACCCCCTAAACTCTAAACCCAGTGAACTTCAACCCTACACCCTGCAAACCCTAAACCCTAAACCCTAACCCTCAACCCTCAACCCTCACCCCTCACCCCTCACCCCTCAACCCTCAACCCTCAACCCTCAACCCTCAACCCTCAACCCTCAACCCTCAACCCTCAACCCTCAACCCTCAACCCTCAACCCTCAACCCTCAACCCTCAACCCTCAACCCTCAACCCTCAACCCTCAACCCTCACCCCTCAACCCTCAACCCTCAACCCTCAACCCTCAACCCTCAACCCTCAACCCTCAACCCTCAACCCTCAACCCTCAACCCTCAACCCTCAACCCTCACCCCTCACCCCTCAACCCTCAACCCTCACCCCTCAACCCTCAACCCTCAACCCTCAACCCCAAGCGTTCGCCCTTTAGATCCCTGGCGTCCCTGGACACCCGGGGCACGCTGCAGTCGGAGCGTGTCCACCAGCAGGCTCTTGTTATGGGGGGCATCTCAGGGTCGTCGGATGTTTTCGAGGGTGGTTTCGGGTTTAGGGTTTAGGGTCTCGAGTTTAGGGTTTAGGGTTTCGGGTGTTTGTAGGGTTTTGTGCGGATTGCAGAGTTCAATAGGGTTGCTTAGGGTTCACAGGGCTTCACAGGTTGAACCAACATTCATTCACTGATGAGTGGACGGTAAATGCAAGGTGAGTGAATACCCTTGGAAACGTAAATGCTTGAATACGAGCAGGAGACTAGTTGTGAATGAGCGAAGCGAAGTGAAACCAGAAGTGAATAAGGAGCCAAACGGGCCTGTTTATCAGACTATTGCAATTAGACCTTTTAAATGACTGGAAACGGGCTTGGGAAAAGAAGACGTCATGCAGTACGTCCTGGTCCTTTTCCTCATCATGTCCAGTGCATTTCATCATTTATTCCTTAAAGCCCAGTTTAAACAAGATGCTTTTGTGAGGGCCGTGAGCACCCACATCATGAAGGGAAAAGAGTGAGGAAAAGACATGAACATAAGAAGATACGGGAATGGTTAGTGCAAAAAAGGCCCCGCAATTCTTATTTATTTAACGGGCAGCTTTACGTACGAAATTGATTAATCCACGAACGGGATTAGGGCGCGGTTGAGGACCATTCTGGTACCCCATAAAACCCTTGAAAGATAGACAGGTTCGTGCTTTGGATTGTGTGATATGGTACATTCATGTGGTACGAATCATCCCTGGAAGGCACAACGCATACCAGTAGTAGACTAATCATTTAGAGCACCTCTTTGGGAAGCCAAGCAGCGACGTGGAGAGCGCACACTTCCCGAAAGCCTTGTTGCAGCAAGCCCGGGCTTCTTTTATAAGCCTCATTCGGGTTTAGGGTTTAGGGTTTAGGGTTTAGGGTTTAGGGTTTAGGGTTTAGGGTTTAGGGTTTAGGGTTTAGGGTTTAGGGTTTAGGGTTTAGGGTTTAGGGTACCCTTTCGCGACAGTTCAGGCCTTCCTTCCTTTGTCGGTCATGTCATATTCTTCAAGCCCTCACGAATCTTCGAAGAGCTCCTTTGAAAGTCCATGCCCATATCAGACCAAAAGTGGCTGCGCATGCGCAGCAGCTGCCGAAAGGCTTGGTTTCATATTGTTAGATATATATATATATAGAAATATAGACGGTTGATTTATTTTTTAGATATGATGAAACCCCTTGACTTCAGAAGTGTGGTATATGATATGTACATATGGCTTATTGGTTAATGCGCGTAGTTCTTCATGCACTTGTATAAGTCTCCATACGTGCTTCGGTTCCTGTTTTCGATTGAACGTCGTGCAGAGCTGCTGCGGCGTTGGGGCTCATGGGATCCTACGCCGCGATTTCCTTTGCTGTGGGCATGGATGTTCATTCAGGCTTGAATTGCTTGGCCCCTGCTGTCGTCGTGGCTTACCCTGTGCGCCCCAAAGCGTGCGATCTACCGGCAGTCGAGGGTTTTCGGGGATTCTCGTGGCTCACCTGCCACCCAAGACCCATATCTCACTCAGCACCCTTTGCCCTAAGCCTCAATTCCCAAGACGCACCTTAGCCCTAAACCCTAAACCTTCAAGCCTTCTACCTGCTGTTCTCCATGTTTCAAAGTCAAACACAAAACCCTAAACCCTGAACCTTGGTTTAGGGATACGATCCTCACTTCCACCTGAGGCCCCAGAAAGCCAGCCGCTGCACCCCCGCAACCAGCCAGAGAACCAGGCGGGAGGGGGGGGGGGCATCTACCGTATTGCCTTGCGGGACCGCACAGTGGAGTCGGCCTGCCCATACAGGGCTTATAGGGTTTTGGGCTTCGGGTTGAGAGTTTAGGGCTTCTGGTTCGGTCAGGGTTTCATGGGCTCGTTGCCTCGGCTACGATGTTGGCCTGGAAGATTTCTCTTTTGTGGGCGATGTTCGCAGTTGGTGCATGAGCTCTCAGCAGCCCAAAAGGGGTTTCCGTCTCCAAGGCAAGGACCTCAGGTGAGCAGAATCAAGATACCACTCGGGCACCATTACTCAAGGCAGTAGAATGGACAAAAGCGGAACCGACAATCAGCGATGGAGCTCACCTTCAGGAACAAGCTCCCTCGTGGTCGCCCAGACATACCGAGACCATTGCTTGATCATCGTTGGCACACTCCCGCTTCCCTGCGGCGCACATACTCGCGACTCCCAGTCAGGTCCATGTGCCTTTGCAGAGCAGGAGACCTGCTTCTTGTGACAGCCGTTGCCTGGAAAGAGCCTTGCGCCGTCCATCTTCCGCACCTCCTGGCATAGGACCTGCCTTCTCCTTTTTCGAGGGGAAGATGTGGCACCTCCGCATCCTAAGGAAGGACGATAGCATCGAGGCTGGGACTAATCTGGGACTGCTGAGATGTCTGGGAGATATCGTAACCCAGACGGGAGGCCGGCTGCAGATCTGGATGTGGAGGAATCGAGAACAGCCTCGCAGGGTGCGATTATCAACATTTGTACACTCCTTAAAGAAGAAGTTGGGTTCGGGAGCAGGGAAGGGGTCTGGGGGGAGACGAAGTCAAGGATGCGGCCCCTGGGTCAGCCTCGCGCACCCAGTCTCATGATGGAACAGCTCCTAGCCATCACATCTGCAAAACGTGCAAAAATGTACAGCATTTTCACATGTTTTCGCAGTCACAAAGAGGCCGCAACCCGGGGCGGCACCCTTTTCCCCGAAAGGGTCAGGGATACT